TCCTCGCAAGAAAGTGAAAGAACACTTTAAACAGCTGTTTTTGACAAGCATAGGCCCTATAGAAGCACACAAGGAAGCGAAATTCAAGGAGATTTCAAATGTGCTTTTTTAGATACATGCGCCCGCAGCGCTTCAAACCTTGAGGCTAGTGATATCAGTGTAAGTAACCACATGCCGACTATACCCAGTCTCAAGAATAACACATTACATATATCGTACTGAAATGTTTGTTTGCAAACAAGAAACGGCTAGTTTATTGCAGTCACTTGGATTTATGAGGCTCCAACCTATGCTTACTCTGCAAACATGCATCTTTCCTGGCCGTTGCATGGTTGTCGTTACGAGTTGAAAACACCATTTGAGCTCGCAGCACTGCAAAGATCCGCACACATTTGGATAGTTATGGTCTCAAGAACAACACAATAAATACGTCGGGACTGCACTTCCTATATCTGCACAGAGGTTTCATAATGAATGACATTGGTACATGCAATGCATTATGCATGCATAATTATAGCTAAACATCACATTTCGACAGCCTTTTTGTGATCCTGTTGGTCTACTGAGACAACCGGAGAGCCATGGGACGAGAGAATAGGGATGGAGATGTAAGGCTTAGTCGACTACCGATTGGTGCACCACAGCTGCTCAGCCCGTCCCGTTGGGTCGGGAGAGGGCCACCCAGCCACTCGAACGGTTACTCAAAGGTCAAGGGTTTGATCCCATCGGATCTGCCATCACCAGTTTCTGCAGTGATAACGAACAACCGGGACGGGGATGTGTAGGTATGTAATAAAGGAAACAAAAGCTGGTCCTGAAAGATAACGAGTTTGTTTGTGGTCAAGACCTGAATGACAACCATCGCGCAGCATTCCGATTCAAAACAATAAACATTAAAGGAAACAGTTCACTTTCCTGAAATTAGTATTTTGCTATTGATTTATGATTTTTTATGCTCAAAATGATCATGAAATAAAATAAAACCTTTTTGTAAAAACAATTTTTTTTCTATATTTTAATATAGGACGAACTATATTCTACGTAAAATAATGTTTGACGCGGAAGCTTATTACGTGTTGACCAATCATATCGCGTAGTTCAAACCTACGTATACTGCATTGGCTGTGAGCAGCATGCTGATTGGCTGACGATGACGTCAGACGTGGCTGCATTCCTGTGCAAGGCACACATTCCTCTGCAAGGCACTCCTTTCGGAACGAGAAATGGAATACTCGTATCTTCGTCTAGGGTGATCATTGAGCCGTAAAAGCTCCTGATTTGTGCTAGTCTCAGCTCAAGCTACGAAACTGCTATTCCAGTTCAAAACCCCATGTTAAAAGTGAACTATTTCCTTTAATAGTTGAATAAATCTGTTAATGCATATGTATTATGTAGTATATGTAGCACTGCAGCTTGATTCATCTATGCCTGGACACTGGTAGAAATAGGCAAAAAAATTAGGTAGACCGTGTCAAATGTAATAATCTTAAAAGAAAATACCTCTGTGAAAGTGTCCAGTACGCTCTGCGCCACCTCTGTCGTCTGGTTGTCGGATTAGTACCGTACACCGACGACAGATGGCAGGGCGGAGCCTGAGCGCCGTCCGCCCACAGGCTGCATCCTGTGACTGGCCTATACAGGAGCGCTCCTCTGCCTACGCAAAACCGAGCCCAGCTTTCCAGAACCGGACAGTTAACATGAACATAAATACACTATGCATCCATCTTCCCTGCCATCCGGTGGGAGGCAGATCTTAGGAATAGGGAAGCACCTCTTCGAAGTGACCCTTTGAGAGTTTTGTCTGGGTGCCATGTCGCAAGTGGGCACTCCCGTTTCAAACAGATTGACTCAGCTACCGCGGGTAGTGCGCCAGTCTGTGGTCGACGAAGCATAATGTCTTCATCTGATCATCTCATACCATGGCCCTGCAATGGTATCAGTAGACCGAAAAGGGCCTGAACAACCGAAACAAATTATATGATAACAAGATATCTTGCGCTCGCTCCGCGTCGCGTTGGCCATACAATGAATAAGGAGAAAGTTTTGGATCGATTGCTCATTTTCCCGTGAGAGTATATCGAATGTATTAACCTCATTTTTAGGTAGGGTAAGTGGCTCCTATCACGCACACCTAGTAGGAAAACTGCTTTTGAGACTTACTGAAACCTGTTTTGCTGATAAAATGGTCACAAGCAGTTTTCATAAGCATTTGCTTCCTTGATTTGACTTTTATGTTCCAGCGTTCCTTCATCATTTATGACATATAAGGCAAAACCTCCACCAACGTCCAACGTGCGCTAATAGAGCACCGGTGCTCTTATGACGCACATTCAGCTGCCTCAAATGCGCACAAGAACAATTCCAACAGGTTTAATAAACATGTCGAGGTATTGATCAAATCACTTTATTTTAAAGTTGAACACCATGAGCACATCATGAACTTTGAACTCGACACATCATGAAACACACCATGAACATGAACGCATCATGAACACATCACGAACTCGAAACCTTTTCACTGACTCAGTATCTACTGGCATCACCAGTCGAGCGCCCGGGCCCGGCTTCACATGCCGAGCGCCCGGGCCCGACGTCACCTGCCGAGCTCCCGGGCCCGGCGTCACCAGTTGAGCGCCCGGGCCCGGCTTCACATGCCGAGCGCCCGGGCCCGGCGTCACCTGCCGAGCTCCCGGGCCCGGCGTCACCAGTCGAGCGCCCGGGCCCGGCTTCACATGCCGAGCGCCCGGGCCCGGCGTCACCTGCCGAGCTCCCGGGCCCGGCGTCACCAGCCGAGCGCCCGGGTCCGGCGTCACCAGCCGAGCGCTCGGGCCCGGCGTCACCTGCCGAGCTCCCGGGCCCGGCGTCACCAGTCGAGCGCCCGGGCCCGGCTTCACATGCCGAGCGCCCGGGCCCGGCGTCACCTGCCGAGCTCCCGGGCCCGGCGTCACCAGCCGAGCGCCCGGGTCCGGCGTCACCAGCCGAGCGCTCGGGCCCGGCGTCACCTGCCGAGCTCCCGGGCCCGGCGTCACCAGTCGAGCTCCCGGGCCCGGCGTCACATGCCGAGCGCCCGGGCCCGGCGTCACCTGCCGAGCTCCCGGGCCCGGCGTCACCAGCCGAGCGCCCGGGTCCGGCGTCACCAGCCGAGCGCCGGGGCCCGGCGTCACCTGCCGAGCGCCCGGGCCCGGCGTCACCAGTCGAGCGCCCGGGTCCGGCGTCACCTGCCGAGCGCCCGGGTCCGGCGTCACCTGCCGAGCGCCCGGGCCCGGCGTCCAGCTCCACCGCCGTTTTGCCAGCTCCACCGCCGGGAGTGGAGCTCAATGCCGCATTCTACACTGTGCCAATGACTAACATGTCAATTCATCGTGATATAAGCTGTTCCTTGTAAGAAAGAAGGCTAGATAATCATCAAATGTACTGTGCGCATTTGCAGCACTGAAAGTGTGCGTCATTGCAGAACCAGTTGCCCTAAACACGCACACCTGACATTCAGCCCCCTCCCGTCAACACTGACGTATTCTGGGTAAAGCATGCACGCCTAAACTGAGTCCCGTTTCATTGCCATCCGGTCAGTGCCCATCGATCTTCCCGGCCTATTCAGGTTTACGCGAGAAGTGCATGCGTCTTAAAACATGCATTATTGCTTCAGGCACTTTTTTGCTGAAGAAACATTGCACCTCAATCACAATATCCGCCATAACTACTCACCTTTTGAGCCGACAACACCCCACCGCCGTCCACACGCAGCACAAATGTCGCTGGAAGTGATTGACAGCTGATTTTTTCGTTCCTGGCTTCTGCTGAAGGAACTACATTAAAAAAAGTTCTTGGTGTGCGCTTTTAGGAAGTGTGCGTCATAGGAGCCACTTACCCTAAGGTATAGGTAAGTATATCAGGTGACTGATCTAACGCATATCAAGTGAACAGCTGCAGCCTAAACGGTTCAAAATGTCGATTATTTTTACCCATGCGAATGATATCCAGCATGGCTACCTTCGACCAACTTCCTGAGCTGAACTTCCATAGCCTTACGTCGCCTTGAGGTTGAACTCTAATTCAAGCCCTCCAAAAGTACTTCTTTTCGATGAAATTAATGGTGTGAAGTGCTTTAGCGAGGAACATTCTACGCGGAAAATCGAATCACATTGTCTGTCTTTATTTACTCATGTTTGGTTCAACCCACTAACTTCCATTGTCTTTTCCGTTGTCAACATCCTTCCATTTATCACTTTCTTCCTGTTCCCATCTGCCTCCCTTCTTCGCACTTCTTTCACCCCTCTCTCTCTCTCTCTCTCTCTCTCTCTCTCTCTCTCTCTCTCTCTCTCTCTCTCTCTCTATCTATCTCTCTATCTATCTATCTTTCTTTCTTTCTTTCTTTCTCTCTCTCTCTCTCTCTCTCTCTCTCTCTCTCTCTCTCTCTCTCTCTCTCTCTCTCTCTCTCTCTCTCTCTCTCTCTCTCTCTCTCTCTCTCTCTCTCTCTCTCTCTCTCTCTCTCTCTATTTCTCTCTCACTCTCTTTGTTTTTTCTCTTTCTGGCAAATGTAGGTACTTACCTCTCTACTTTGTTGCCTCCATTTATTTTGTAAAGTTAGGCCTTGAAATGTAATATTCTTATAACCACACTTAAATCATTGTTCATAGCAGGTTTGCTGTTACTTGTTAGGGTGCTTCCAAGTACAGCCTATATTTTGAATGCACAATTTATGTAACGAATTATAAAGTGATAAATGACGCATCTTGTTTCTCATATGACTCAAAAGGAGGAGATGAAAATGTGCATTTTTCATTCCTACATCCATGTAATTATAATCGGATAACCGGAATAGCCTATTATACCGATAACTGATGAACTGAATCTTCAGTAAACACAAAAATATAACGAATAAGCATTCAGTTTCTCATTTAATAAAATATGCACTGATAACCTGTAGCTTCAAGTTTGAGGACGCAGAAATATCATATTGACTTCTGCTATCGACGGCTGTCCATTTCGGAAGACACAGGTCGGTTTTCACTTTGTATTTCTTAGAAAGTGAAAATACACACACACCATGATGAGGGCTTAGATTTTCACGTTTGCCATCGACGCGACGTCTTCGGTCACTGCCGATGAATACTGATTAAGGCTATAGAAAAATATGCATCTACATTACCGAAATGAAAAGCGCCTATATAAATGAATCTATGCAACACGTAGATGAACTCACATCAACGCACCATTCCAACGCACCGTTCCAACGCACCATACGAATACATCATTCCAGCGCAGCATTCGAATACAACATTCCAACGCACCATTCCAACGCACCATGTCAGCGCAGCTGACCAGCGCCGCAGCACGCGGCTCAACTCTGCACTCTCACAGCGCCGCAGCAACGCACAAACTCATAAACTCACACTCAACAACAAAACATGGGCGCCCGGTCGGCCACCCCGCCTCCGACTCCGACTCCGACTCCGACTCCGACTCCGTGTGGGACTGCGGAGCGCGGCGCGGCGGTCTCTCAGAGTGAGTCAGTGGGCACGTAGCGCACGGTCGGGTAGTAGCCCTTGGCCCAGTCTGCCAGGTAGGTGACGATCTGAGTGCGGCCGTCGGGCATGTCCCAGCGGTACTCTCCCGTGATGATCATGCCGTCGCTGGTCTCCTTCTGGCTGAAGGCGTTGTCGGTCTCGTCGTCAGCGATGTCGTAGCCGAACTCGTAAGGCCGCGACATGTGCATCTGGGGAGAGGGAGGGGTGTCAGCGGTTAGTTGAGACAAAATTGAGCCGTTCGTAGCCGAACTCGTAAGGCCGGGACGACATGTGCATCTGGGTATAATAGTGGTTTGTCAGCGGTCAGTCCGGGCAAAATAAACCGCCAGTTTGTGCAAAAAGAAAGCTAAGATTACTGCTGGATGGAATTGATTATATTGAGCACAAGAATTATGAAAAATACTGGACGGACATAATATCCGGTAATAATGGGAAGCATATAAAAGTATGCAAGGATCAATAAAATAGCATCACCAAAACTCGTGCAATCTGAAAGCGTTGGGCCAAAAACGCCCTAAAGTTAACCCGCGCGGGGCTGGGGGGGGGGTAAATTTTACCCCCCCCCCCTCGCGAATTTTTGCAATATCTCAAAAACGGCGGCGCGCAGCGCCGCCAAACTTTCAGTACCTTTTCTTACATCAATTTGACACGTTCCCTGAAAATTTGAGCGAAATCCGTCGGAATTTTTTTGAGAAATTGATGTTTTAGTGACGTCATGTTCGCCATTTTCGCCTCAAAAACGGCAAAAGTTCAAACGCCGCTCACATCTTCATTTTTAAAGGAATCAAGACGTAACAAAAAGGTTATACGTAATTCTTCTTTGTCTATCAAATGGCTATCTCGGTTTTTGAAAATTTTGGATTTTGGCCCAATTTTTTTCTTCAAAAAACTGACTTTTTTGGGAAAATAATTATAAAATCCAAAATTTTGAATGTATCGAAAAAACCGGAATATATGTCAGAGAAGTGGTCTATGTGCACCTACATACCAATTTTTAGAAGAATCGGTTCAAAAATGTGGGAGTTATTCAAGATTTTATGACGTCACGACACACAAAAATTTTGATAAATGATTTTTTTTGGAAGTTCTAGACCTTGTACGGAAACAAAAATAGCACCATTCGATTTGCCGTGAAAAACTGCATCAGATAGACACCTTTTTAGGCCTTAACAACCAACTTCAAAATTTGACCTCACTTGACCTGACCTTGACCTGACCTCGACCTGAAATTCATCCAGAGGTGGTCCATATCACTTATTGAGTGTGCCTATTGAATTCTATGAGTAAAATGACCCATAAAACATGTGTCGAACATGCCCTTTTCCATATTTTGTTTTTTGGTGACCTGACCTGACCTGACCTGACCTTGACCTTGACAACTGAATGATATTGTATGCAACGAATATTGTCTTGGTAGCCTAAGAACACGTTTTGGGCAATCAGTCTCAGTCGATGACTCCATTCTTCGGCAACTACGGTGCAAGGCCGATACTGTAGAAACTTGCAATTTGTACCCTTGACCTGACCTTGACCTTGACCTCAAACTTTAAATTAAGTACATGTTTTTAGTAGTTCGTGATGAGATCTTTCGATTGGCGTTTGATTTTTCCAAATCGGACCATTAGTTCGGGAGATAACAGGGGGGGTAAAATTTACCCCCCCCCCCAGCCCCGCGCGTTCGGCTGGAGACCCCAGCCCCGCGCGGGTTAACAACCACACCGTTGTCACACTATTTCGCAGCGATCGAGCCTCTGGACAGGCCCCCGTTTCCCGATTTCCCCACTCTTACCATGGCGGCCGCCTTGGGCACGGCCGTGGAGGGACGCCGGGTAGTGGTGACTCGCCGGGTGGTGGTGACTGGTGCCCGGGTGGTGGTGATGACCCGGCGCGGCGTGGTGACGCGCCGCGTCACCGGCCGCCGCGTGGTGGTGGTGGTAGTGGTGGTGGTGGTGGTGGTGGTGGGGAAGGGCACGCGGCCGCCGGGCGGGCCCGAGCCGTCCGGCACCAGGTTGGGCGGCAGGTAGTCCGGCTGCGGCGGCCGCAGCTTGACCTCCGTGTTGTCCGAGCCACCAGGGCTGACGGGGCCGCCCTTATCCGGCGGCGGCGGCAGGTACAGGCCGTTGTCGGGCACAGGGTAGCTGTAGCCCTTGGTCATGGGCGCGCCGGCCGCCGCCGCGCATACCGCCGCCACACACACAACCTGCCGACACGGGAGGGCGGGTCTAGCGGTCAGTGGGGGAGACAGCTGGAAGAACATCTGGGAGACATTCAGGAACGTAAGACATGGGTGGTGGCCGCTGCATTAGGCGTATTCACCCTGCATACCTCATCTCTAGATGAGGTAAGGAGTCAAAATTCGGTTAAATATTTCTGCATGAATGGTTGTCATATATCCATTTTATCCCACAGCACGGTCCGATGGTATTTCTATACGCTAAAGAGCACCATGTATTTCCGTCATATACCACAGCACAATTCGGTAGTATTTCTTTTCGCTAAACGAGACAGTGCACAAGTGAATCCATTGGTATCTTTGTCAGAGCTCTAATTTGTGCAAGAAACGGTCTGTGACCGTCCATTTTCCGCTGTGCTGTGCTCCGGGTGTTGTCCGGACAGCAGCACTGTCCGGCTGTCCCTGCGCCCCAGTTCCCCGTCCTTGTCCTTTCAGAGCCCTCAGGCGCGGTCCGATGGGCGAAAGGCGTTCGGTGCGTGGCGAAACGCGACCACCAGCCGCCGCTGCCGGGACCTTTTCCCGAGACCGTCTCCAGCGGGGCGACACACTGCCGGGGGACGGCGCTCGTTTACCGTTTACCGTTCACCGCTGGCCGCCCGGCGGCGCCCTACCGTTCTGACGGGGCGGACCGGGTTGATGTCGCCCTTCTGACCGGTCCCGTCTTACGTCACAGCCCTCTCGACCGGTCCTGTCAGAGGAGGGACAGGAAGAGCACGGAGACATGGGAGCAGGGAGGAAGAAAGCTGGAAAGCAGCGGTGGAATGGAAGCCCTCATCTTTTAATATGCTGAGGTAGATAATATTTAAGTCCCAGCATGCTTGTTCCTGAAGTTAGTAAAAGTGTATTTGCTTTCTATTGTAGGTATAAAGATGCACTGCAAACCTTACATTTTATAAACAGCAAGCTAAAGAGCATAAAGCTGAAATTTATCCCTCAACACAGAAGGCACTTTAATTTTCGACAAGTTAATCCCGCCGCTACAATCGATCAACTTTGGAGATGAATGCTGCTCATGTTTAAGTCGTGATGCTGTTTTACATTTGTTTACAATTCCATAGTGCAATAGATGAAGCTTGACATTGTGCAGCTCCCACTGTCTGCAATTTCATTTAAGGCCTCTGTCACAATCTAAGTGATTCTATTGCGGCTCATGCATTTGCTCATGGACCAGCCGAGTCGTCCTTGCAATGCTCCTTGCAGGACAACTGACTGGGAAACTGGGTGACCGTCCTTGACTGGCATCTGGCAGGAAGCCAAGGGTCAGGACATTCAGGTGGTGCGAAGCGGCTCGCAGTAAGCATTGCCATTCCAGATTCAAAGGTCAAACTGGTCGTGAATTGCCCATTTATAACTTGAGGTGCCCTTGTGTTGATTAGCATGCATAGAAGGTAACACATGGGTATATACAGGCTGGCAAATTCGGGTTAACCGTCGGCTCAGTGTACAGATTAAGAGAGGCTTGGCCGAGTAATGTTTTTGACCTTTCGTTACCGTTGCTCTAATTCTTCGGACAGTGTTTTACCACCGCCATCAGGCGGTGCTAAATAATGAAGGCCGCCATGGATTATCCCCGGAGGTCAGTGGTTTGTAGGTGAACTTTAGGTCTATCAGCTATAACCGGGAGCGTCCTGATTGGTTCGGACAGTAACAGCGGCCAGATATTCGCGAGGCCGTAAACAGCACGGTTACCGATGGTTTATCGACGGCTGCGATCGGTAGCGCTGCCAAACTCCAGTGATACGAGCTGCGGTGACCCGTGCAGATGAAGATGTGATTCAAATACCGTCCACTGCACCATGGCCCCTAGCCTTGACACTGACCCGCGGGCGACGTTCCTAGAACTGGGAGGGATTTACCTGCTACTGCTGCACCTATAACGAGCCAGTTGAAGCTCCCGCAGTCATCAATCTCGGCCTGCATCCTTTGGTAGATCCGATTAAAAATGAGCTCGAGGGTTGCGTATTAGCGCCTGTATCTGCCACCGGCACGTCAGCTGCTTAAAAGGTCAAAGCAGTTCGGATTTTGGGCTTTTGAAATTTCAGAGGAACAGAGGCATTTCTCCTTAGCTCATGTTGAAAGAGATGACGTGGCCAGCACTACCGTGGGAAGCGTAACGCTAAGAATATAGAACTGGAGGGAAACAGCCAGGGACTGAGTGGAGCAGTTTTTCAGTTGTAGGTATGCTAAGTGGTCAGCGGACTGACCTCCGGAGGCCTCCGGTAACGAGCCGAGATTGTCCGCTCAGTGGGCACTCCGTCCGGTCGCGGTCAGGGTCACTGCGCCACCTGACCTCTGACGAGGCGCAGCCGTGCTCTCCACTGACAATTGCAGCGCACCGGACGAAATTGGTACGCGAAAATGACCCCAACCAGGTCAGTGGGTGTTGTTTAGAGGACACCGGGTGTCCGGTGTTAGGCGGGGCGCTCTCGATCTCACGAGAGCTGAGGCCGGGCGCCCATAGAAACCACCGCGTCCATTCCCGGTCCAATGCGCACCGGCTGGACTAGCGGCGCTTTCTGGGACGTCAGATGAAGGGTATGATGACGATAGCTTGGTGAACATATGTCTTATTCAGTGTCGGCGATGTCTGCCTGTCATCACCCGCCGCGGCGTGTCTCTCCTGACCTTGCAGCTTCTGTTCACCATGGGGAAGCGCCCGGTGTCGGGTGACCCGATCAGAGCTGAACGCTCGTCACCCGCCGACCGCCGACAGCCGCCGTGTAGATATGCCGGGGCGGGCGAGGAAGAGGCTGCCACCGAGAGCTAAACCCTGAGGGAGGACGCGATTCCGTCCGTCACGCTCCGCCGGCCTTCAGAGGCGCTGTGAGGATCCCGGCCCGCCGGCCGCGCGACGGCGACAGAATGAATCAGCACGTCGCGCCGTCGACCTTGTGCGTCCGATCATCGTCTGCAACGGACCTGGGTCGCGCCGACGACCGACGGGACGGTAGCGGAGTGTGGAGTCCAGCGATGCAAGGTACTGCGCCGTTGGGACGCAGAAAGGCTCGCGAGGGAGAGGGAGTGTTGTCGGGCAGAGCCACCACTGTAACACAAGTCACTGCACCAGTGCGGGTCGACCGCCGTGGCCTGTCAACGCCAAACGCCCAAACACTCTCCCTCTCCGCCACACAGACCGGATTAGCTGAGGGACAGGTGCGCGGGCTCCGTGACGCCTCCGTTACGCGCGTCACGTAACGACAGCCGCGGCCGAGCCGAACCGTCACGGGAATGGCTCTGTGCGAGGGTCGGCACGCAGCGGAGCCACGCGCTCTGGGTTATAAAAGCAGCAGCGGACCAGAGCCCCCTAGAGTATTTATTACGGGTGAAACTGCTAGCGAGTCGGAGACTGTCGCCTGGCGCACTGGGGCGGCGCCCACATTATAGGGGGAAATTGGACCTCACTGCCGCCAACCGTGTCAGTGTCGGGGTGGATATTCGTGTCGGTGGTCTGTCCGGACGGTGTCGTGGGTCCGAGGCGCACCGGCCGGCCAGCCAACACCCGATAAACAGGTGCCCGCTGAGGTGTTGTAACCGGTGCGGCCTATCTCGACTGGGCCACCGACACTCGCCATTAACCTAGCCGGCCGCCTTTCATCACGAATTCTCCGTTTTGCAATGGGTCTTTACTGAAAGTGTCGGCTCGTTAAAATTGATCGATGCGGCTGATGGACGCGTCGTTTTGTGCACGTGGCCCTCTCGCGCCTGATTGGCCGCGAACTGTCCGTGCGTCGGCCGCATATATTAATCATCGTTATAGAGACGCGCACGAATCATTCCTCAAATGATATTAAACGTGGTCGTTCAAGTGAGCCGGTCCTCATTGAAGGAAATCAAAATTGATGAGCACATGCTCATGAGGCTGCACTGGCGATATGCGAGTAGGCATGCATAGACCGTACCCAACGAGCGTTCAAGTGAATACCTTATTTTAACAACTTATATGGACATTGGAAGATAGATGTGATTCATACCTATATCATAGCTATTCAAGCCTGTATTTGTTTTAGAATTTGGTTACACTGCGAGCTCAGAATGAAATATAAGCGGATAACCATGAAGTTCCCTAATGTGACGCACATATTTGAAATGAGAGCATTTGTAAAGTTGTTTGGGGTTATGAGTTGTAAACCAAACAAATTTAGATCGCACATTATCTGGCTTATAGGGTGCCAGGCCTACATAAAAGCCTATATTAATGAATAATTGATTTTTCAGTCAAAGAAGATTCTACCACAGGATCAGCGAATCACAGCGGACAATACCAAACTAAGAGAGCAAGAACATTTTGGCCATCGTTCATAGGTCCCAAAATTATCAAACTTGATAATGTTTTACAATCGCTGTTGAGAATGCGTGTTATGAACATATCATAGGTGGATTGTGCCATTATGATTTATGGCCTTTCGAAAAAAAAAGAGAAATTAAGTTTCGGGGGCGACTTGAAGACGGAAACAAAGCATACTCGTGCCCACGTGAGAACAAAAAGGTCATGCAATAGGTATTCAGAACAATTAGACATTTAAAATGAGTCTCTTGAGGTGCATTTTTATTGCAGCCTAAGCTTTTTCCTCTACGATTAGCCACCTTTTTCATGGCCCCGACCGTGGGCCGGCAAAACCCGGCGATTTGGGCGCTACGTTGACCCAGATGACAGAAAATTGTGTGTTTCTCAGTCCGTCCGTCAGCTCGCCATACCAAGCCGGTATGTGGCCAGCCATTGAGACGGTCACACTCGGCGAGTCTGGCCGTCAACAAACTGGACACCGATCGAACACAGCGCCTCTTGCGAGCGTCACTCGTGACGCAAACGGCCGGCCATGAAACATCGATTACGGCCGAGTGGGGCGTGGGTCCCATCGGATTGACTCAGCAGGTCCCGTCGCTGGGGTGAGATTGGGCGAGGCTCCACGCAGGTTTACTGATCTCGGAGGTGTTAATGGGCCGTCCGAGAGCTCATTAGCACCCCAGACGCCACGCGCCACCAGACGGGACCACTTTCAGTTTCAGTTTCCGTCTATCGCTGCCTCGGTCCGCGCCTCCGTCTCCACATGGGTGGGTCAGACAGATCACGTGACGTGACGGGGGCGGTGACGGGACGGTATGGGGGCAAGTGACGGGACGAGGCCTGGACGGGACCAGGGCAGTGATGGGACGGGACCCCGAAGCTCCGAAGGCTGCTATGAGCGCCAGTCCAGTCGGGCTGAAGACGTTTGGCAACGGGCGCCTGAGAACAGCCGGCCGTCGACGCCGTGTGTAACGGGCTATTTCCGTTGTGCAAAACCGCGCGAATGCCGGTGGTGGCAGCGCGCGCTGGGAACGTTACGGCAGAGTGGTCAGCGCGCGCGCGCGAAATGGAGCCACCGGGCACGTGCCGGGCGCGCGCCGTCGCTCGGCCGGTTTCACAATGGGACAGATCGCGGCCCGGAATGTGGCCGGAGTGGCCGTGATTCGGGGGCGGGCCCACGGCGAACGATGCGGTACAGCGCCCACTGCACGGTGTCAGCTGTTAGGGATATGGTCACCGTGCAGTGTAAAATATACAATTACATGTTTGGCCGTGCTTATGGGCTGACTGAATGGATCGAACATTGAGCAGCGAGGCTTTTGTAACCACATTATTTCATAGATTCTTCACTTATAAATCTGAGTCGTTCATACTGCATATTTTGAGGAAAAAATCACCAAATGCTGATTAGATTCAAACGCAACTTGGTAAAACTGGCAAAAGCATCTCTTCTCAAATAAACTAGCAGATTTGTACGAAGTGTATGGCCTGTACCCTGCTGCACGTGCAAAACGGCTATCTATCTTGTAATTAAATGCGGGAACACGGCTCCGGCTGTCAGAAATGTTACCCGCTGTGTGGTTTGTGCATAATTCAGCCCTTGGTGATGGAGACGGTCGATAGATGTAGTGAACAGCACAGAGACATTGCTACTGTGCTTTACTGGCGAACATCCTGGCTTGACGTTATGGAATGTTGGTTACAGTCGCGAGTCGTGGCAATAGATGACAACTCAGACACCGAGTGAAACGGATCGATGACCAAATGAATTATGTGATTTGCAGGAAGAAGCCCATTTGCCATAGAAGTAATTTATCTGTCGGCAGTTGCTATTGCATGAGCTTACGATATTTACCTTTTTTATTTATCATGTCACTTGCATTACGATTTTTAATAGCTCAATTTATAGTAGGAATGAAATTCCCTATTTAGGATTGGCTCTTCGGAAAAAAATTACTCCGAAATTATGAGTAGTCAAAAATATCCAGGTTAATTTTTGATGCTCAGTTTTTTGTGAACCTCAATAGCGCATGTTGACATTTAATGTCTATGTGCGAACAAACTGCCCTAAATACTCCAGCTAAGTTACGCTTGATAAATACAAGCAAATATAATTTGAGAAATCATGAAAATCAGAAAAGTGAACCAGCCATCTGCATCGCTTTCACAAGATATTGGGTGAATGTAATTGCAATTCTAAATTTCACGGACGCATTAAAGACAAAAGAGGCAACAACACAATAATTAGCACCACCACCAGGCACCAGAGGCGAAAAGGACAGCGAAATCCTCCTACATTAATCACAAGCCCATCTGCATAACGGGCCAATTGATATTAGGCTGCCCTTCACTGACACAGCCAGGGACTCAGTCAGAGCAAGTCGTTGTCCTTTTCACCTCCGGGCCGAGCCCCGAGTCCTTAGCTGGAGCCGCGATCTGTCCTGTCGAGCCGGTCACGCACCTGAAGCCAAGCCATCGCCGTTGCCTGAGCCGCCAGTCCCGAGCGTCACACTGCCGCCATCGACGCCCGACCGCCTCTTATAGAGTGGAGGGGCGCGCCGGCAGCACACGAGGCCGGGGGGCGGCGCGTCGGCGCCCTGAGCTAGGGGCGCAGCCGGCTGGCAGGGAGGCGCCGGAACTGACCTGGGAGGGGACTGAGTGACCTGAGGGAACCGACCGCGCTGGGGGCTGGCAGGGAGGCGCCGGAACTGACCTGAGAGGGGACTGAGTGACCTAAGCGGAACTGACCGCGCTAGCGCAGTGCCCACTGGGGAAGCGGCGGAACTGACCTCAGAGGGGGACTGAGACCTCAAAGGGAACTTATGTGGCTGGGTGAAGGAGACTGTCGCGCTGGCCGCCGGGGAGGCGCCGGAACTGACCGTGGAGGAGACTGGTGACCGGAGAGGGGGCTGAGAGACCTCAGAGGGGAACTGATTGACCTGAGAGGAAACTGAGTGACTGGGGAGGGGGCTGACTGACCTCAGAGGACAGAGAGAATTAGCTGACTGGGGAGGCACTGGAACTGATCTCAAAGGGAGCTGAGTGACTATGGAGGGAAACTGATCGTGTTGGGGGCTCAACAGCCGCTGGAGAGAGACTCCGGGGCTGGCGTTGATTCAGAGGGAACAGAGTGACCGGGGAGGGGAGCTGAACGACTGGGGAAGACGCAGGAGAAGCGCCACAACTGACTTGACGGGCGTTGTGGTTCTGTCATTCCTACAGCTTATGCCCTAGAAGTTTGGAACTCAGTTAATTGCATGAGGGCCTCTCTACCAACAAGTTTAATATCTTTGAATTTTGATAGCTTAAATTCTGAGCCTGCACGGTATTGGTAGAGCGCTGGACTTCCGGCAATGCGAGCTCGGGTTCGAATCGCTCCGGTGCAACTTGACATTTTTAGGTCAACTTATAAGTTCATTCGACATATGTCAATAAGAGAAACACGAAGCCGGTAAAGCCAATGTCGTGCAAGTTGTAAGTCAAACGTTCTTGCAATTTTGTCATACTCAAACGTCAAACTTAAAGGTTTTTGCCCTCTGTAGGGTAAACCGTTAACCCTAGGTGAAATCTGAGAGAGATGTATAAAAAGAGCGATTGAATGTGTTGTAGGTCTACTAGTTCCCAAATTATGGATCTATTTGTGAAAATTGTCAAAATCGGTTTTTTTTTTCGTTATATTTTTGCTTCTGGTGACCTTCGGTGGCATCAGCGATGACCTGATTGAAAATGATCTGTATAATTCTATAGAATCTTTTAACGAGTTATCTTTTGCTTGTCCGCGTCTTTCTGGGTTTCTTGGTGTTCGAGATAACCGGATATGGCCAAATACCCCACCCCCTCCCTAACCATGGCAAATTTGGCTGAGAGGCCCACGGCAGGTGGAAGGATAAATTGTGAATACAAGAAATTAAAGGTAGTGTGCCACCTTTGAAAGATTTCCCATTTTATTTTTCCTAGGATAAGAAGCTTCTGTTTTTACATAATATCGCCAAAAAAAATCAAAAATGGGCCGGGAATAGTGCCTTTTTCGCCTAAAAGTTTATCGGTTTTTCGATATGTATAACAACTGTAGTGGGCTGACCTGCAAACAGGCGTCGGCAACAATCGCGAATGCGGCGCACATGTGACAATAAGCAAAGGTCATTATAGAGTTACGACGTACGGGAATGAGTTATCACCTGTCTAATCGTAGACAACACAATGTCGAGCCTTAAACTGTAAGTCTGTATTGGTATTGTTTCTTTTATTTGGCTGTCGAACATTATTTATGGTTTGAAATATGATTTTATGTAAAATAATTGATATGAAAAAGCCGTCTCTTAAGTTATGACCCCATTTCACCACACGCAAGTGGCAGAAATGACAATGATCAGCTGACGCATTTTTCTGGATGAGACTAAATGCTTACTTCGAAATCTAAGCTGCGTTGCGGCATTGGCGGTTATGTGCGGCGTGTATGCCGCATGATTAGTAAGCGGCGACCACTAAATTAAAAATTCAATAGCTTCGACCTGTTTTCAATGGATAACACTGCATACCAAAAATGTCCATCGCTCTCGTCATAGGATATTTAGATTTAAATAACTAACTTATCTACATCATTGTTTTGAACCAAATTAATACTCAGCCGCGAACGTAGGGGAGAGTGGGGAAAGATGCCCAGGGTTTTACTATGCCATATATTATTCGAAAATGACGATCGGAAAGCAAAAACCTGGAGTTTCAACGGAAGCCGATATCATTTTTCTCCAAAAATATCACGCTGTCGTGCCTGAAATATGATAACTTTTTTTGCTATTAAGCATTTTCCTGAAGAAGTCAAAGGGGGCATCTTACCCCACAGGGTGGGAAAGACGCCCCCTGGAGTTGGGGAAGATGCCCCCTGCACCATAAGTGACATAAATGGGCACGTGAATCGCCTGAGCGAATCAGTAGTCCCTTCGAGCCTGCAGTAGACACCAAACGTCATCGTAAGGGCCCTCAAAAGTAGTCGTAAGGGGCTTCAAAGGTCATCGTTAGGGCCATCATAGTCCAGAGCGGCCAAACAAGCCTCCGTGGTGGCGTTCGGAGACCACTGTGGGGCCCTTATAGGTCTTCATGATGCTTGAGGGCCCTCGAGCCCATCGTGGGGACCTCAGATGCCAGCGCGGCCCGTGGAGCCAACGTGGGAGCCCTCAAAGGATGTCGTGAGGGGCCCTGGAGCCAATAATGGGGCCCACAGAGGCCGTCTTGAGGGCTCTCAGAGTCAGATGCCGCCCAAAAAATCGTTGTGTGGGCCGAGAGACCGGCATGGGGAGCACCCGACCGTACTGGACTCTCAATAGTCCCAGATCGGCTTTATCTCTCATCACAAGTATGTAATAAATGATTTGACGGGCTGCTTGAAGGACAGCCTAGTGATTTAGGGGGGGCGTCTTTCCCCATCAGGACAGGGGGCATCTTACCCCTAGGTACCGAAGTAACATTAAATCAGTACCATTTGTTAGCCATAAAACTACACCCTGAAACAAACTGTTTGGGACACAGTACACGCATGTTAATGTATCACGACTATAGCAAGGGACGCAAAAATTATCTACCTTCTTTGATATTTACTATGTTTTGACACCAAAATATTTTTTAAAAGCAGCAAATAAAAAACATGCAATCACCAGCCAGCCGTTGCCAAACTGAGCTTCGCAAATTTTTGTGCAGTTAACAAGGCAGGCTTCCGCTTTACGCTAAGAACATTAATTTCCAGGTTCGATTATTTGTTTCGCCGCTAGAGGGGGTGGGGCGTCTTTCCCACCCTGGGCATCTTACCCCACTCTCCCCTATAAGGTATAACCCCTTGCCGTTTCGCTCCTGATCAAGCTAGAGCTTCGCGGAAAAAACGAGCGTGTTGCCCGTGACGAGAGAAAGCCGATGATACCCAATTTTAACCCTCGCCCGCACATGCCATTTTCCCATCCTAGAACGCACATGGGGGGGGGGTTGCCACCCCCCCCCGCGCCATTTCGTTCCTGTTGGAGATAGAGCTTAGCAGTAAAGACCAAAAAGATTCTTTGGGAAGAGACGAATCCAATGATACCCAGTTTTACCTTCTCAGGTCAGTCATTGACCTTCCAGGTCAGGTCAAACTAAAAAATGTTGCTGTTTTGGGTCACCGTTGGATATCAAGTGCGCTGATTATCAAATACCGATGACGATGCTGTTTTCTGGTGCCAAGCCAGCTAGAACCTCTTTGTCACACTATCCGACCAGAATTTTGCTGCTGAGGTCATTTCAGGTCAAGTTAGGTCAAGGTCAATTATATGTGTTTGTATGTCTGTGTGTGTCTGTGTGTATACTAATGTGTGCACCGATTGTTTTTGGGTCCATATCACATGAAATCATGATCTGAGAAGCTTTAACCAAAAATGCAGTAAAAAAAAACTTCACAAAAAGTAAATTCAGCTTGCCTAAAACGCAATTATCTTAGATGACCTAGGTTGACCTTGACCCTGACCTTGACCCCTGTACATCGTCGAACAACATGTTCCATGATAGGTGGGAGGTAAGACTGGCAAAAAAGGCCGAAATCAGGGTGTCAAAAGCTCACAAGGCCCATGGCAAACGCAAGATGTTGATAATTGGCCATTTGGGTCATGACATGACCTGAAAAACAAGGTCATATATCTCCGAAACCAAATATCACAGAAACTTGAAATTTTCAGTGGACATCAAGAAAGGATAGACGAGCAGCTATACGAAAAATCAGCCTTCTAGCTGTAAAAATGTTGAGTGCAGAGCAGAAAGACTGCCTGGGGGGGTGGCAACCACCCCCCCCCCCCATGTGCGGGCGAGGGTTAAGGTCCTAGGTTATCGGTTGACCTTCCAGGTCAGGTCAATGACCCAAAAGGCGGGAAAATTGGGACCTGTTAGAACGTCGTAGTGTGGCTGCTATGGGGTTTTTCGGGGTGCTGATCACGAATATCATGCTAGTTTTGATCACAGATGATGTCTTCATTCATTTAGGCCAGGTCGGGTTAGGTCAGGTCAGGTCAACCAGTAGAGGTCCTGCCAGGTATTTGTAGTAGGTGTCAACCGCCTCTGACAGCCTCGTAACATGTTACGAAGGCACCAAAACTACTTTGTAAACGTTCATGTGGTTGCTTAATTCGAATTCAGCTCGAAAAAAAACTGACCTAGAAACATGTCAAACTCGAAAAAGTGAACCGAGGTCACCAAAGGTCAATGACCTGACCTGACCTTCAGGTGACCTTGACACCCACCCTAATGCATGGGGGCAACATCATATCACATGTTTGAACGCTTGAAACCACGAAAAGACTGCAAACGCGCTGCTAATGCGAGCCGACATACGCTGAATCGCGGTTCCGGCCAAACATGGTCTCGAAAAGTAGGTCACAGGTCAAAGGTCATTTGGGTCAGGGTCATGAAATTTTCAGGATGGGTGTTAAATTGATCAATGCGAGGGTACTGAAAGTTTCGTCGCGATCAGCAGCTTTTTAAGCGAGTTATTCGCGAAAAACCTTAGGGGGGTTGCATCAACCCCCCCTTGTGCGGGCGAGGTCATGTTTTGATAGCAAGACTGAAACAGA